TGTGTGTGTGTGTGTGTGTGTCCTCCCTTGTGCTGTACTGTAGACAAAACCCCAGATGAATACAACCCTTCATTTTAGTCAGATCATATACTCGGCTTTATTTGTTTTCACTTCGCTGCTGCATTTCAATCGACGTCAAACTTTAATTTATCACAAAAATGTTTGTTTAAAGAGTTTTCACTTAATCTCTTTTCCCAGTATTCATAAACGTGCGTACGGTCTTTGACATCTACTCGGCGATATGACTAAAAATACTGGTCCTAAAAACACAGCCATCACTCAGAGTTGCCCAGTCACATCAACAATAGTGCTGTAATATTCACTGATTACCAGACAAAATATGACACGGCAGATAACCCACACAATGGCCCTGCTTCTATCGCACGCATTATACTGCAGTATCTTATAAAAACACAAGTAAACGTGTCTTTTGTAGTTTGAACCAGGAGTCGCGCTGGCAGGTTGAAAGTCATTAACCCTCGCCGATAACTTGTATTGTGTGTCAGTCGTTAGCTGATACTTGTTTGACCCCCCCCATTGTGTGATGGTGGTCGAGCCCAGGGGCGGACTGGGACAATAACTCAGGCCGGGAATTTGACTCCTTTCCAGGCCGCCCTTTTCACGCAAAGCACCAGACCTCTGATTTCGTGGACTGACCGTTGTTGTTGATGTAACGGTTACCAGACTGGTGAACAAGAAGGAGGTGCAGTAACTCATTGACGTCAATATACGTGCGTTCTTTTATTGGGGTGTTAAAATGCTAAAATTTCAGATGTTATATTCTCATAATATTTAATTTTTGGGATCTTTATTTGAGAGAATGTTTTCCATGCAGCTGTGAGGTGTAATAGCAGTGTTTGGTAAACAGCCAGATTTGTCCATCTGCCTTTCTTTAATAATTCAACCTGCACCGCCCCTCCTCCTCCTCCTCCTCCTCCTCTCTGATTCTGTTTTCGGTCATTTCCCAGCAGCTGAGTTCCTTCCAGCCGTGCTGTGGTTTGATGAAAACAAACCACAGATCCAAACTTCCTGCGGCCGCCCCGCTGCAGTGGGCAAACACGAATATACCATGTTCTCAGAGCGCTGCTGGTCCACCTCATATCCTTTGTCACATATTTGACCTTCCTTTTCTTTCTGACGCTCTTCTCTTTGCCGTCTCTACTTCATCCCCACAAAGCTCTAGAATTAATCTGATGTAGAAAGTGGCACCTGGACATCAGAAGTAATTTCTGTTTCTCCTTCAATATTTAAAACATTTTCATAGATAGACAGACAGATGTTAAACAGTTTATTGGAACAGGTAGAAAGCACAAACACATCAGCTGCAGCCAATAAATGCCTCTGCATTGCCCGATAGCTAGCATTGCCTCATGTTAACCCAACCGACGTAAATACAAATGTATGTGTCTCCGAGCCACACAGGAAGGGAGGACGTCTCTGGTCCCATGTCCCAGATTGGCAGCGGGGAAGCGTCCCGCCTCTCTACTTCCTCTTTTTCCTGTCTGCAGCCACTTCCTGTCCTGCCTCTCGCTGGCTGCTGCCGTCAGGGATGTGTCGGCTCCCAGAGTCACGGGCTCAATCGCCGGAAACATCACCAGCGTAGAGTGTGTGTGTGTGTGTGTGTGTGTGTGTGTATGTGTGTGTGTGTGTGTGTGTTAAGACCTGGGGAAATGTGTCTGTTTACAATCTGACACAGAAAAAATGTGTTGTGAAGAAGCTGATTATTAATTATTCTCATTTTCTTTGTCATTAAATATTTATATATTTATAAATATTTGTAATTTTATTTTCCGGGGAAAGTCAGAGGTGAATATTGCGATTCACAAACAATGAGCTGAAAGAGTCAGTTTCCCTTCGGGGACTCGTGACTCTGGTGCATCTCTGAACGTTATCGTTCCACGGAAAGACTTGATCCTAGAAGAAGGAACCATCGTTCACTTTGTCGTCTTCATTTTAATGCTTTCCCGACATTTCAGAAACATACAAATGCTAAATGTAAAGTTCCTTAAACCGAATCTAGAAAATAGGGACTGATGAAAAAGTAGGGGGGGGTGAGAGAGAGAGGTGGGGGGGGTGTACGTGCGATATGTGACTATGATTTGGGCATCGGGCCGATTTTTTTTTTTTTTCTTTCCTTGTTGAAAACATTTATGAGATAGCGGCTTGATATCAGACAGAGTCCATTTGTTTTCCGAGACGTTTTCCCCTCCGCTGTGCAGCTCGGTGTCCTTCAACACTGGAGATCCTGCTGATCGCTGTGAAAACAAACACACACACACATATTACTGTCCACAGATGGACACATGAGGACACACTTTCTCACAAATACACGTTCTTCCATGTGTAAGAAAACACGTGACCATGTTTAAATGCTGGTATATTGGTATCAGAAATAGTTTTACTCTCTAATATCGACATCCGCCGTGTTCGTCAGGCTTGTAGTTCAAACGGCACAAAAACATATCGTCAAATAATGATGAATCTTTTTGCTTACAAGTGTTTACAAATCTTTATATTTACATCTCTGTGTAAAGCACAAGTTGAAAACCATTCATCAAACTGATGCACGCGCAGCTTTCGAGTCGAGGGCCGTGTTTCTCATGCAGCTCATACCAGCAGTGAGTGATGGGCAGAGGGTCTGTGTTCCAGACCCGGCTAAATAAGCAGAGACCTTTCAGTATTTATCTCCCTGTGCGTCTGAGCCAGAGACACTGGAGCCGGTCAGCGGGTATTTTCTGTCTCGTGACCTTGTCCAGGTGATGTAGATGTGCTGCGTCACTGGACCGCTAATGTCCCTCGTTCATCATTGCATGCATCGTTTTGTCTGTTTCATGTGTTCCCTGCACAGAGCGGCTCTTTTTTCTTCTTCTCTCACTCCGCAGACGTCTGTGGTCGACAAAGTGTTATAAATAATATTAAAATGTTGGAGATATTATAGGAGGAGAAGTATTTCTTGTGTCTGCACCTCTCTCTTCCTCGCTTCCTCTCTCTCTCTCTCTCTCTCTTCTCCCCATGGTCATCCAAGGCAAACAAGCAGGCAGCAGGAGAGTGTGTGTGTGTGTGTGTGTGTGTTGTGTGTGCGTGTGTGTTGCTGGACAGCAGGAGACAGAGCACTGGGTTCATGGGAATACATAGCGGTTGTGCTGGTGTATGTGTGTTAAGTACTCTCATGTTGAGCTCAGTTGAGACCGGAGGTTAAGACACAAAAACTCATCTGAGTTAATTGGAAACAGAGACACACACACACACACACACACACACACACACACACACACACATCCCCATTGACATTCACACAAAAACACACACACACACACACACTTCATCTACCTTTATTTCACACCAAAGATGTGCCAATCAAGTTTTTTGGCAAAGCCTCTTCCCTTGTAAACTCGGTTCGACGTCAGCGTGCAGAGAGCAAACAAACCAACAACATGACGCCAGGTCGCTGGCTGTAAATGAGGAGCTGCTAGCTGAAGCTAAAGCTCCATCTGTGCTCGATGAATCAACGGGTTCGGTGCAGAATTCAAACAGACTGTTTGTGTGGATACAGTTCTAATTCTGTTGAAGGTTATATAAACTGATTCCAGACTGAATCCACTTGATCTCAGCTTCACATTGGTGCTTATTTGTTTCCATGCAGTGGCTGAAAAAGCTTTCCACCGAATGAAACCACATTTAAACCTGCAAGATTTTTTTGATTTCCGGATCCACACCAAATTGCACACGCCCGTAATTATACTGTGAATCATTCTCTGTTAACTTTTCTTGCAACGATAAAGAAAGTGAGAAAGTCACAGTCACGATATCGTGTCAGCTCACGTCCGGTCGACCGTCTCTGTGGGAAACACAAGGGTTAGCATCGCAGCTGATATTTATCCAAGCTATCTCTACTACACGCACTAGTATAAATTCCCTCTCTCTGACTCACACACCCATATGCTCAGGGCGTAAGACAGAGTTGCCTTTGTCTTTCAAGTAAACATAAGTATACTCCTCGTGCACGTTGGCTCGGCTCAGCTGTGTGTACATCTGCTCAGGCCTCTGTGTGTGTGTGTGTGTGCGTCGCCACCAGACCTTCTGAAGTCGTCTCTAGTGACACACATCTCATCCGCTAAAGAGGTTCAGTCCAAAATTAAAATGTTCCATGCAGTCAGGGTAGAAATTATTACAGCATGTTTGCGGAATCAGTTCGCCAATCTAGCTATTAATCTAATAATCCTTATTTCATACATGGTTTTCCATTGTATGTAATGCTCAGCAAAAACAATTCCCCACTCTCGAGGTCCACTTTTCAGAGCTTAAAACCACATCTCATGCTCTGTTGTCATCACAATTACATCATATTGTGGAATATATGTGGCGGGGGGGGGGGGGGGGGGGGGGGGGGGTCATAACCCTTGTGTCTGCAGTTGAAAGCTCAGGAACAATCAAAGTGGAGCTGGAGTTAAAAGTTCTGCAACTTCTGATTCCCAGCTCATCAATGAGCGGCCTCGCTCGGAGGGGTTCTCAATGCAATCTCAGAACAGGTGATTTGAAACGGACAAATCCCGAACACATGGTCGTTGAGCGTTGGGCCTCCGTCACCTTGGGTTGCTGTGTGGGCTCCGCTGAGTCCTCGGAGTCCAGGGCTTTCACAACACTCGGCGCAGATGGACTGACGCACTTGTGGTCAAACCTGGCCGTGGAGTTTGTTTTGCTCTCATGGCACTGAGTCACGGCCCGACTAATTCCTCAGAAATGCATTTTTCAACTGCTCTGGTTTTCACTTCTGGTTGAACCCACTCGCTGGATTTCCACCTGTTTTTCTTTTTTTCCCGTTGGCAGGTTTTGTTTTCATGGAATTGGGCCGACTCTGCCAGGAGCCTTTGGTATTTGCTGAAATCATCTCAGACTTATTTATCCATGTTGGTGAGGCCCAGGCTGTCTCAGCGGAGGTTTGACTGATTTGTGGTCCGTCTCCTGCGCTCTGCATTACATTTTCTCTCTTCACGTGAACCAGACATGAGTGTCTCATACATTTGTTTGTGTCAATGCAACTCCAAGACAACTCACAGAGTTCGGGGAATATAAAGAACATGTGTCCGTCTGAAAAGTTTGTTCTGGCAACGCTCATGTTCCCCAGAGGATGAATCCTTATGAGTTCTGTGATTCCCTTGACTTTTCCTCTCGTGCCATCGCGACGCAATTCTTTCCTGCTTTTAATGAAACCGTTGAACGGATTACTTTAAAACTGATGTACACATATTATCATGATCCCCTCAGGATGAATGACTATACTGACTTTAGCAATCCAGTAACTTTTCATCTAACGCCCCCATCAGGTCAAATTTAAATCTTCTCGTTCTGGTTCGGGCCTAAAATATCATCAGAATTAATCACATTCCTGTGGCTCTTGTCTCATTTTGTCTTGTTGTAGCTTAGATGAATTTATATAATGCACAATATAATAAGTAAATCTGTAAAAGATATTGGAAAGAATAAAAAGATATGTTGGTCAGGCAGAAGGAAAACTAGTTTGGAAAGATACGTTGAATTTTTTGGGTGTATGTCCTTTTTTTTTTAAACTTTTTTTTGGGGGTTTTAAGGAATGATCCGTGAAAGCCTGAGTAAACATTCATCATCAGTCGGATTCTTCAAAGTCCAAAACGGATTCCGATATTTTCCAGGAAAGCAGCTGCATTCTTTAAAGAAAAAAAAAAAGAAAAAGAGAGAGAGACCGAGGAGAAAGTGTACTTTGGTGCTCGGCTGCGGTGACTGTGTGCAGATGTGAGCGATGAACGTTTGACTGTGAATAAGGACGAGAGAAATGAAACGTTATTTTAAAATCAGTCAATCTAGACGTGTCATAACGATCTCTGTGACATGATCTCTCTCTCTCTCTCTCTCTCTCTCTCTCTCTCTCTCTCTCTCTCTCTCTGTCTGTGTGTTTCTTAGTTTTTTACAAAATACGGACCAGACTACTCGCTGGAGATCAGCCCGAGCTGTCGACCAGACCGGAACGACACCAAACACCTGGACCAGGTCATCGGCACCATCAAAGGTGTGTGTGTGTGTCTGTGTGTGTGTGTGTGTGTGTGTGTGTGTGATGTGGATGCACAGGTGTTGGTGTGGTTGAGGGTGTGGTGGGTAAACAGGTGTGAGTCTGTTTGTGTGCGTCTCCCTGAACCCTCGCTCACCTAAAGCCCCTTTGTCTCTGCACGACTCTTTTTAAGTCTGGTTTCATGCTCTGTTCTCGACTGAGTGGGATAAAAGTCTGGCTTGTTCCTCTTCTTTTTTTTTTTTTTCCGTCCTTGCGGCTCTTAACATCCTTTTGTGTGTGTGTGAACATACTGTCGACCCAGCACATGTACCCACAAACCCTCCTCGACCCGAGTCTGGGTCTCGATACATGTGGTATTGTCTATTTTTGCAGCATTGTCTTTCTATATATTCCTTTATGTTTGTATATTCTTCTGTGAGTGTGTCTCCGGCCGTGTGGTTGGGCCTTCGGTCTCTGCGTTGACAGCCCGCAGCGCCCAGAAGAGATCCATCCCACAGGGTGAAACTTAGGGGAAGAGTTGAGCGGCGGCAGAGTTACTGGATGTGAGGTCAGAAACTCGCCGCAAAAGAAACAGACGTGAAGCGCGTCTATAGGTCGAGTTCATTTTACGAACATCAAACCGCGCTCAGCCAAGATTTTGAGAGAAGAAAGAAATCTGATTTGGTGTCTCGTGTAATGTCAAGGTTCTGGTGTGAAGACGTGTTCGCCCGCAGACCAAAAGGAAATACTTCTTCCTCTCTCTCCGTTTGAGGACATTTCACCGAAGCAGTTATCCATCATGTCTGTGTTTGTTAATTCAAACCGTTCAAAACCGCTGACCCCTGCGGAGGAATTGAATCGGGCCCTTTAAAGCACGTCGTTGTTGCTACGGTTACACCTGCCATCCTCAGTCCTCTGCTGCCGACACTGTGTTCATTTCGATTTGAATGGAAACAAGGACATTTGGATACGATGATACAATCACTTCACTTCCTCATTCGTTCTTATCTGTCACTTATTGCCGTCCATCTCGTCCTCTTCTCGTTTTCACCGTCGCTGTTCCTCGTGCATCGTATTGTACAAGAGAAACCAACTGTAGAATCGACTCTGCTTCCTGTTTACACCAGCAAACGACAGAATGTAGTTCCCCCGGGGGCTCAGAGAGAAAACAACAGAGTCTGCACAACAGTCACAACACTTCGGGTGCGACAACATACAATGAAATAAAAGTTGTGGTCTCCCGACTTAACTGCAACGGTGGGACCCACTGGAGAGGGAGTTTTAAAATCTCCACTTTAACGGTGGAAACTGCTGCTCAGTTTGAACGGAGCCCCGGTTTGTCCAGATTACAACGAGAGCCATGTTGGATGCTGGGTCGGTTTATACAAACAACATTAAGCGCTCCGCTCTGAAAAACTCCAGGTCACATCAAATCAGGGGAACAGGAGTTTTCTTTTCTTTTTTGCCAAAATTCACTTGGTCTGTTGGCTCGCAGTAAATCATCAAGACCAGAGGGGCTGAGAGTATCGCTGGTTTCCAGTCATACGGCTTTTATTAGGGGCGAGAGAAGGCGCGGATGGATGAACAAACAGATGGATGGAGGGAATAAAAAGGAGGAGAAATGAGAAATGAAATGCAGACAATCCAAAGACAGAGAGAGAGAGAGAGAGAGAGAGAGAGAGACGGGGAAAATGTGAATTTTGCCGCCTGGTGCCATGTGGCTCTCCTGTCGTTTATCAGATCTCTTGTTCTCTTTCTTCCCTTTGCTCGGTCAGAGTAAACTGTCAACTGCTCGTTAAGGCTCGTTATTCATGTTTTAATTGAAGTTCATCATTAAGATGATTCGATTTGACTCTTATGAGCAGTTGATTTCATCTTTTCTTTCTCAGGCTCATACATTTACAGTGAATCCAGGGGACTTTTGCTCCCTTCTCTTCTCTCTCTTGTCCTTCTTCCACTGAAGTTTCCATCCTGCTCTCAACCTGTCACGTCTGTTTAATGTCCTCGTTCTTTTCTTCATTCCTCTCTTTCTCTTCCATCTCCGTCATGTCAGAAACCACTTTTCACAAAATTGCTTGTGTCACAGAGCGCTTTACCACACAGCGAGCAAGACCCGACCCAAAAAAAACCTCAACAAGAAAGTGAGAGCATTATGATTTTAAATATCGTGGAGTAATCCTACGTGTCGTTTTGTCTACGATTTAAAAAAAGATCCACATGTCTGCTAACTTAACTAATGCATACACACGAACACAGGGTTAGGAAAAGCTCTAACGCACACACACACACACACACACACACACACACACACACACACACCTCTAGGCGAACATATCCACATGACATCATTGGGGTGGATAAGTGTTTTTCTGGTTTTGGAAATGCTGCACTGCTTATAAACATTGGTTTCCCTGAGAAACTGGGCAGTGTGAGTTTGTATGTTTGCGTGTGTGTGTGTGAGTTTGTATGTTTGCGTGTGTGTGTGTGTGTGTGTGTGTGTTTGCATGTTTGCGTGTGTGCATCCACATCTGCTCCGTCTGCTGGCACGAATGAACTGCTAAGTTTTGAATCTTCAAGTGGTAATCCCTAAAACCCTTCATATTTCTTCATCTTCGTTCAGCATGTGTTGTGTCTCCAGACCAGATGTTTAACTAACTGTGTTACGATGTGCTCACGCTGCACAATTAAATCAGAATATACTATTTTATACAGGAAATGATACAAGGCCATTTTTCAATGAATAAAAAAAAACAGGAACGATACGACAGCCGTCATCTCCACTGAAGGAGCCAGAGTTTAAAAAAAGATTTTTTTTTACTTATACTGCAGTCGTCCACCAGGGGGCGGTCGGTTTTAAAGTCGCAGTGTCGCCAAAACTCCGTCGGTTCGGTTCAGTTCAGTTCATGTAATAAAAGTCCAAATGTTTCTGTTACACACATCAGGCTTTTACTGGTGTTCCAACATAAACTGTCCAGTTAGTGCGTTTTTCAGAATAAACACATCATGGCCACTGTTACAAGCATTAAAACATCGAGACAACTCCAAAATAAAAGACACAGCGAGCTTTATGTATTTTTAAATGTTGTTTTTAGAGAGTTACTCACTCTTTCCTTTTGTTTCCCTCTGCCTCACACACACACACACACACACACACACACACACACACACACACACACACACACACTGGGGCTTGTTAAACGTCTGTATTAATTAAAATGTGATTTTTATTCGGTGATTGTCGGAGGCGACAGCAGCTGTTTGTGTGTTCACTGTCCTCTGTTTACGAGGCTCTGCTAGTGTGATTTCCCCTGGGCTTGTGTCTCTGTGTGTGTGTGTGTGTGTGTGTGTGACTGTGTGTGTCTGTGTGTGACTGTGTGTGCCTGTGTGTGTGTGTAAACTGCCAGCCGTTACTGTGTGATTGTATCTTATATTATCAGTGCGTGTGAGCAAGGAAATGCTGCAGCATCTTTACATCCTTCCAGCTCGTTAATGTCACACACACACACACACACACACACACACACACATTCACAGGCTCCTATTTTACATCCGACACAAAGCAGCACCAAACCACTGAGTAGTCACTGCGAGACCAGTTTTCTTTTTCAGGTCCGGCGCCCACGTTGTTTAAATATCAACGTGCACGTGCACCCGTGGGTGTGTTGGTCTTTAAATGGGGTGTGGTCAGGCTCATTGTTTGGAGCTTCACTATCTTCAGGCAGCAGAGAGCCGGTCCTGAGTCAACGATGCACCATTGTCTTGTGTTTTATTCAGTGAATTATCAAACAGTAATATTTGCCTGTAGGCAGGTGTACTGTGCACAACACACACTGTTGTTGCGTGTGTAGACGATGATACCAGTCCGACCAGATCCACACACACTGTTGATTTTATTTTTATTTTTTTTAAACACCTGGAACCGGAGACTACGCTGTGATTGGTTAATTGCATGTTACACCTTAAACACACGGATGATTAGTGAAGAGACTCAGAGCAACACTTTTGAACAATGCGTCTCATTCAGAGACCGGTTTTTCTGCCGTTAAACAAAAAGAGGATTTGCTGCTGATCATTGAATTAGAACCCGACTACACTCCTCTTTGACAGTTTCACCATTTTCTCAGATGTAATTAGGGAAGTGAAAATAAAATCTCTGGATCCCCCTTTCGTCTGAATCCATGATAACAGGTAACGGGTTCTATCTGGGCCTCTGTCTCATCCTTCCACCAAGTTTAGTGGAAATCCGTCGAGTAGTTTTTCTGTTATCCTGCCGACAAACCAACAGATGGACTGGGGGCGAAAACACAACCTCTTTGGTTGGAGGACAAAACAGACTTTCAGACAAAGAAATACAACCAGGACACAAAACGGAAGCAATCCGTTCACCGTCAAACCTAAACTGGAGAATTACTTCCACACCAACAGACGCTGTGATAGATGAAGTTCTGCAGGTTGTAAATATCCGTGGTCGCTCGTCACTTCAGAATTCCCTGTTGTCCACATCTGGAAAGCGAAGAGAAGTGAGAGAGTGGATTCAGGGAGAGACAAGAGAAAAAAGACGACGAGTCAACCTACGTCAATATTTTTTACATTAATCTTTTATTGTTAGAGATTCATTTAAAAGAAAATAGCCAAGTTCAAAAACCCTCCGATGTCCGGTTTACAATGATACAAAACACGTTTGAGAATCTTCAAACTTTTTTATTGTTGGTTTCTTCCTCATCAAATCACTTCAGAGGTTAATTGCTCGTCAGAACCGTTGGTTATTAAACATCTCTGTCCGTTGACTCGTCGCTTCAACGCCTGAAAACAGACCAAAGATAACAAACACGAGCAGGAGGAGAGGGACGACAGGTTCGATCCTGAGACGCTGATAAAAGTTTAAATCAAATTTTTTTGCGATATTTGAAAGTTAATATCCCGTCGGCTGTTTTTCTGCCCGTGCACCTTCAGGCTCTGCTCGTGAGCACGCTTCCTCTTTTCCTGTTTTCAGCTCACATCATGATTCCTGAAACTGCCTTGTCTGCAACTGTTGCCCGAGAGACTTTGTCAGCAGATGCATCTGTCCTCAGTTGGCTCCTGTCGTCTGTGTGATAACAGTGTGGAGATAGAGGCCAGGCTCTCAGTTGTTTAACTTTCTGCCGTTAACTGCGTTTGTTTATGTGATTTCCAGTAAATCACCTGACGTAGCAGAGCGGGAAGAATTTAAATGACTGAATGAATTTAAATCGTTCCTCCAAGTTTTTCGTGATAAATCTTTCGGTCACTTTCGCCAAAGACGCCACACGCGGAGATTCAAACCTCCAGATTCAGCTTCACCCTCTCTGAGATAAAAATAGAGGGACGTGCACCCGGAGACTAAAAACCCTCTGAAGTATTGATGCAGCTGATTGTGTTCCGTCGAGCTCCTCGATAAAGCTGCTGTCGCTGCAGCAGAACATGACAGGTCTCCTCTGACAGCTCCACAATGGCCGACCGACAGGACATCCTCCCTCACTGCGTCAGTGAAGGGCTGCGTTTGTCGGGGCAATTACTCATCCAACGAGAGGGTGTGTGTGTCTGTGTGTGTGTGTGTCTGTGTGTGTGTGTGTGTGTGTGTGTACAACATGTTTATATTTCACAAGCAGGCAATTTAACATAACAATAGACCAACAAAGAGGCTTTGTTACGTCGTAACATAGAAACTAAACCGACGACTAGACTTTTTAATGAGGCTATTGTGCGTGTGTGTTTGTGTGTGTGTGTGTGTGTGTGTGTGTACTTAACGTTGTCGTTTCCGTATTGATCCTTTATTTGCATTGTTGTGTGTCATCTGGAGCGACTGGATTTCCACTGTCTCCCCCCAAAATAGGGGACACTGTCCTCAGAGGCCAATTAATCGTCATTCGATGTTTTTCTGAGTCGTGATTAGTCGACTCGTTAATCAGCGAGAGGAGGCGACAGTGTGTGTGTTTCCGTCTTGTTTGTTTGTTCGGGGGTTTATCTTTGTATATTTTTTGTATCCTACTTAATTTTGGACCCTCCTCCTTCCTCCTGTGTGTGTTTGTGTGTGTATGGGGGGGGGGGGGGGGTGTTTCTAGTTGTGTGCATGTATATTGTAACATGTGTGTTCACCCCCCCCAACTCTCATTTCTCTCTCTTTCTCTTGTTTACAGGGAATTTAAAGAATGTGGTTTAGGAGCCGGCGGACTCGGCCTCTTCACACACACACACACACACACACACACACACATACATTCAGACCCACAAACACACACCATGTTTCCAAACCAGGTCGATGCTCGGTGGCTTTAATGAAGACAATATGGAGCGGACCCCTTCGGCCCCGAGGCACGGAGCGAACCAGGGAGGGATGAAGGTTTTGGAAAACATTAGCCGAGTGTTTCCAGAGGATAACAGTTTAATAAGGGGGGGGGGGGGGGSGGTGATGTGGTCGCTGTTTTTAATCCTGTTTTCTTTTTTTTGTTTTGTGTTTTTGAGAAGCTACAGTTTGTGTGTTTCCTGCGGATGAGAGAGTTTATACAGTTTGCTCAGTGTGGTTGTGTAAACCTGAATTACAGCCGGACTCTGTAATGCGCCCGCTCGTTGTTTGTGTTCGTCCATCAGCTGCACATTTGAACCTAAATGGAAAAACAGATCTTTCAGGTGTCCGGTTTCACGTTCACCCCGGTGCTGCTGTGATTTCAACCCCCCCCCGGGGACACATAAGCGCTAAAACAGACATAGGACCCAAACGGCCACCTTCCCCAAAACGCCCCGTCCTCCTGGGTTTCTGATCGGGTCTGGAAAAGTCCTGAAAAGTATGTGAGACGTCAAGAGACACTCGGAAAGTTTACAAACAAACGGTCTGGAGAAGTTTTGGAAAACAGCCGGTTACAGATTAGAAGTTTATTTGCTCAGCCACGTTGTTTTGACCCCTGGGCAAAATCTGCAAATTAAACATCTGGATGGAGTTTGGAATTTTAAATGGAAGATATGTAGGGAAAGTTAAAAAGTTCTTTTTTGTCCACAGACAATAACAAAGCTCATATGAACCTGAAGGAGGATTTAGACAGAGATGGTCCTGAACTGGTTTTACACAACTGCACATGTGTCTGAAGTTTATTCATTGAGCTGACGCTGGTTCCACGAAAGAACTGGAAATGAAAATATTCGACACCATGATACACAACTGACTAATAATTGTTTAATGGTTGTTTTTTCTATTGTTCTTGCACGTTTTTTTTTTTAAATAAGTATAAAGACTAAAGGAAAATCCCGTCTTTGTTCCTGCTTTTCAATGATTTTGAACTTGGCATCAGAGAAAAGCTAAAATGTTTAAAAAGTTAAATCCCCCCCATGTTTGATTCTCAATATATGTATGTGACAAAACTGCAAACTGTCATTTGACCACGTTTTTTCTAAATCCACTGCAGATAAACGTTCAATCTTTTTCTAATATTTTAGAAATTGAAAGGTTTTCTATCTTCATTTGTTTTCCCTTTGTCCGAGTGTTTTGATGTAGGAACCACAGACACTTGTTGAAATAAAAGACAGGACGGCATGTTGTTGTCATGTGTCTCCGCTGTGTTTTAAGACTTGATTTATGTAGCGACGGCTGCTTAATAGTGGCTTTAATGGGCCCAGCGTTTGAAAGAGGAACCACAAATGTCAGGCAGGTTCCTTTAGAAGTGATGTTCCCCAAATTAATGGCCTGGAAATTCACACCAAATGTAGGAGTCGCCACTCGAGAGCTGGCATGTGCTGAACAGAAGTGTGTGTCAGTGTGTGTGTGTGTGTGTGTGTGTGTGTGAGTGAGGATTCCCTGTGATCTTTATGAACAGGGCTGTGGTCACCGTGGCGGTTTGAGCCCAACGTAGCCGGAGCAAATGAAACTCATTACACCGTTTACGAGCTCAGAAAAAGGAGAGGCCATTGAAATCCTATCTTGTAAACTGGTGTGGGGGGTGGGGGGGGGGGCTTTGTAATCATAAGCGATGTGAGAGACTTGTGTGTGTTTATGTGTTTTTTTTTTTTTTTGGTCTGCGGAGTCAAATTAGAAAAAATCCGAGGGGCCCCCCGAAGGTTTCAGGGCACCACTGGAAATCCTGGATTGTGCTTTTTTGTTTTTTTGTTTTTTTTTTTAACAGAAAAGCTGAAGCCGGGGTCGGGTTCTGTCGAGACCCAGGTGGTCTTCGTTTGGGAGGAGCCTGGGTGTTTGGGCTGTTTGTGGTTGGAAGTAGAGACAAGCAAAACTTAAAATACAGAAAAACACCGAACACGGTTTCGTTTTCTCTCTTTTGTTCATGCACCGAACTCCGGCCATTTTCCTGAAGTTTTTCTGGAGGAGGTGTGTTACTGAGAACGTAAACGTCTGAGTCAGCTGCTCCGGAGAATCTGTGGAACTTCTCCCGCAGAGTGAGTCCGTGTGAGAAGCAGGAAAATGAGTGGACGAGGTTTCTAACTCGTGAAACTGGGAGAATACAAATATCCCAGAGGAGCCGTAGACAGACGAAGACGTTTTCTGGAGTTGTGTCTTAAATCGGCTCGTGAGGAATACAACACTCGCACATACTTCGACTGTGGCACAAAGAAACACAATTCGATGCACTGCTATTTAACGGTTGTGTTAATCTGAGTTAAACTAATCAAAGTGTAATCACTCAGACAGAAGAGGAGAAGTTAATCACCCTATGACATCATCAGAAACTTTATTTCAAGGAGAGTTATTACAGTTTGAGTTACATAACTTTTATCCACTGTTATTTGAATGGAATCTAAAAGACTAGGAACAAGTCTACGGAGCTTTCCTGTCATTTTTTTTAAAATCCCCACATAAACCAGCCGAGTGATGCAACACAGTCTGTAAAGGAAAAGCTGTCTTCCACATCATGGCGAAGACGGAGCGTTTCTTTGCCAGCGTGCCGAGCTGTAATTTGTCTTTGGCAAAAGTTTTCTTCCTCTAGACGCACACAGATTTATTTTTTCCGATATGAAAATGGAAGGTGGTGTTGGAATCGTCGGACTGAGGCTTTTGGACTCAGTCTGGCTCCGTCACACGTTAAAGTGCAGTGGTCCAATCCTGGCGCCTGGTGACTCTGGTTCGTTGTTGTTAGATCAGGACGCTCCGTCGAGTTCCTTAAACCTGCGTCTTGTTCTTTTCAAGTTAAGTTCTTTAACCCTCTGGAGTCTGAGGACATTTTCCCGATTGTCACGTCTCATTAAATTAAGAGTGGTTCAGAACAATCTCTGCTTTGTCGAGTTCTTCAAATCTCTTATGAAATTACACCTTAAAGGTCCAAACGTCAACTTTCACTTGTGAGGATTAATTGTTTTGATGGTTTAAAAGTGTTTATCAAAGTTGTAGATTCAAAAAGTATTTGAATACACATGTAAAGTAGTAGACAACACTGTTCAAGTAGTTCTGTGTGTCTCTCTTTGTTGCATCGAACGCACTTTCACTGCTCTATGAGAGAAAAAAACTTTCCAACGACTTGTATGCAAATCAGCAGCGGGCCTCTCAATGTGACCCGATGAGTCGTTGAGGTAAACCGTCCTTCCTCTTCCTCTTCCTCTGACGCCCTGTGGTTCCTCCCGGTGAAGACGGTTATCAGCTGCGTCGAACATTTGCATAAGTGTTGTAAAGCTCGCGTAAACATTTTTTTTGTGGATCTTCTGAAACGATGCGGATCGGAAGAGAGAACTCGTTTTCCAGAGGTGCGGAGTCTGAAATGCATGTTTCATCAGCTGCTCAGCCGAATCCTCCACCGCCGGTCAACAAAAGTCCAGTTTGTCCTCTGACAGTTTGACCAAAACGTGCTACGACTATTTGTGCAGAGATGGAAATCACAAACGGTTTGTTTGAATTTGCATAACATCTCCCCGAGGGGGGAACAAAGCACCGGGGGGGCCTCCGTCTATACGTCCTCCTCCTCATCAACATGTGAAGTGTCTGCGGTCAATGGCGGAGGGGATTTACTCGCACAATAAAGACAGATGCCACCTTTTATCTGCTTAACGGAAGAGAGGCCGAGCGCGTGGCACTTGACCGCGTCGTCGCACGTTGTTGGCGCGTAATGACGTCCTCCCTCCAGAGGCCATTGAACCAGCGCTGAATGGGTAATGGGCTTTTTAGCAGGAGGTGGGGGAGGGATGGATTTTTTTTTTTGTGATGAATTAGTGGAGGCCCCCCCCCCCAACAACACTTTCAGTGATTATTCTTTTTCCCCAAACAGCCTTTGTTTGTCCCTTATGAATAAAATAGACTCAACTGACCCGTGAGGTTACGACAGTCGGGTTTTAAGCTTCTCTGGGTGACAAACTTTCAAAATAATTTAATAAACCTGTATTTGTTGTTGTTGTATAAATTGATTATCTCGTGTGAACGCTCTTTATTTAACAGGATATAAGTGATAAAAGAAGATTTAGTTCACGTGTTGCCGTATAAAATCGTCTCATTTCAAGCTTTTCCTCAGTTTGTTTCATTTGTCAGAAGAGTTTAATGACGACATCTCAGGAACAACTGACAAACTAATATTTAAACATCGGGCGATAGTTTCTTTCCTCCGTCTGCCTCCACCTCTCGTGTATTTAATGACTTCTGTATTTGATTCTGTGTATTTTTGCACAAATGTCAAGTTGTTTTTTTTTTTTGAAAAGATATTTCAAAAGACGAGCGACACCAAATGATAACGATGCAACATCACGGAACACAAACGCTGACATGAAGACGTCTCCACATGTGAGAACATGAAGTCATGTAGACTCCACACAGACACATGAGCTCTCCCTCTCCCTCTCTCTCTCTCTCTCTCTCTCTCCCTCTCTCTCTCTCTCTCTCTCTCTCCCTCTCTCTCTCTCTCTCTCTGGTCGAGTGACACTGACAAAGACAGTGATCTGAAGTGGTTCGTTTGTTTGCAGCAGAGCAGCTTTAAAAACCCGGAGTACGGATTCCACACAGATGGGGTTTTTTTTTTATCTCTTGAAAATCCTCAGAAGAACGATTCAGCTGCTTCAAGTTCACCTCCTGAAGCGTCCAAGGCCTCTCGGACACTCACACGTGTTCTGGTCCGACCCACAGACCGAAAATAAAGATGGACGACGTGTCTCCGCTTCCTGCCGCTTTCCAAAAATGAAGCCAAAACATCCCGAAGGCAGGTGTCGCCATCTTGCAGCGGTGACGTCATCGCGGCTCGAGCTTTGCTCCAAATGCTTCCGGGATATTTTGGCTTCATTTTTGGAAAGTGGCAGGAAGCGGAGACGCGTCGTCCATGTTTATTTTCAGTCTGTGATGAACGCTGCAAAGAAAACTCACAACAATTTGTTCTGTTGAAAATAATAACTTTGATTTAAATCACCTCAGCCCACTGGTAAGATAGAATCCTGATCCTCTGGAAGTCCAGATCCTGGCTTTGTGAAAGGCAGCCAGTCTCACACACACATACTCACACACACTCATACAATACAAACACACACCAGGCTGGTCAGTGAGGAGAGGGAGCTGCACAAAGTGGTTTGTATTCAGTGAGGAGCTCATTGAGGAGCGGACGAACCCTCTGAGGGTCTGCAGACAGTCAGTGTGTCAGCTTCTCCTGAAATAAAGAGCTCCAGCTGCAGTTCACTGGCTCTCACTCTCATGCTCACACACACTTTGGACTCTGGACCCGAGAGTTTGAGTTTCCAGGAGCTTTCCTCGCAAGGTTGGTCCAGTTCTCTGGTTTGTGC